GGTCTGGCACCGGTTGCTAGTTCTCCGTACAGCACGTCCTTCGGTATTCGGCCATCGTCCATTCGGCTAACATGACCGAGCCATCTCAGACGCCTCTGGCTGAGCAAGGCGTACATGCTGATCATTCCGGCCTGTGCCAGGACGTCCTTGTTCGGGACACGATCCTGCCAACTGATGCCCAGGATTCTTCTGAGGCAGCGCATGTGGAAGGCATTGAGTCGACGTTCTTGGTGGGAGTACAGTGTCCAGGCTTCACTGCCATACAAGAGCGTGCTGAGTATGCAAGCCTTGTATACCACTAGCTTGGTGTTGGTGGTCAGCATTGCGTTGTCCCAAACGCGTTTCCCAAGGCGAGCCATAACTGTTGCTGCTTTGCCGATGCGTTTGTTTAACTCTGCCTCCAGGGACAGGTTGTTGGAGATGGTGGAACCCAGATAGGTGAACGTGCCTACCACCTCAAGGATGTGGTCATCGATGGAGATTCTAGGAATGCTGCAGACATCCTGGACCATGACTTGGGTCTTCTTGATGCTGATGGTGAGAGCGAACTCGTTACACGCATGAGAGAGGCGGTCCATGAGTCGCTGCAAGGCTGGCTCTGTGTGCGCAGTCAAGGCGGCGTCATCGGCGAACAGCATCTCTCTAATCAGGACCTTGCGGACCTTAGTTTTTGCTCGGAGACGTGCGAGGTTGAAGAGCCTTCCGTCACTCTAAGGTCTTTGTCACTCTTTGTCAGTCTAAGGTGTAGAAAAATAATAGAAAATAATACGAAATATACATGTAGCTGTGTCCCAGATATTAATGCCTGGCAAATTTTGTACTGTAAGATATTAAGTCCTTTTATTGTATACTGGTAAAATTGTTCTGTGAATGTTGTTGTGCCAAGGCCAATTGGTATTAATAAAAAGAAAAAGTTTGCATGTGAGGTCTCATGCATCATTTTTGACTGGTCACTGGTGGTGACACAGCGCTCCTAAAGCACCACCCAGTGAAGGGGGTAGGTACTGCACTCATTGGCTTCCATTCGATGTGCACAATCTGGCTGCATCTGACCGTGGCATGACCATGCTAAAGCTATCTCAGCTAAGGATAAAAACAGGTCTAGCAGCTAAGCAGAATCTTAGTTCATGATCAATTATACAAGCCTTAAACGAAGAAAAATACAGCCTTTTCCAACAAACTTTCTCTAAACAACTATGCTCTGTAGAACACCCCTACACCAGCCACCTCCTGCAGAAATTTCTAGATAGCCAACTGTGTCAGACATTTCTGTAGTATGCTATTGCTCTGGTACCATAAAAGTATGGTCATGTTACGGTCAGGTGCAGCTTTATTGTGTACGGTGAATGGAAGCCAGTGGCTGCAGTACTTTTACCCATCACTTGGGGGCACTTCAAGAGCACCATATTATGGTCACACTACACTCACAGGTAGGTGCAGCCTGTTTTCACTGGAAATGCCTTGAGGTGGGTACATATTGAGGCTAAGAGCATGGTAACCATGTAAACATAGTAGGCACAAAGAAAGAGAGAAATCATTTTTTGCAAATGCGTATGTTTTTGTGAAAGGACCGTGTGAACCTTTCAAGCATTGAAAATGGTCGAATGTGTGGAAAATCCACTCCGATACTTGATTTCAAGATGTAATATAACAGCATCACATTTGGAAAGTCATTCTTGCCCATAGTAGCAACTTGTGTGTTTGTGTAAATTGAAAATGTGAAACAATAATCGCAACACAAAATTCTTGCTTCATCTGTTTAATTTTCAATTATTCCACTTTGCCAGAGCTAATCTACCAACTTTGATCACTAACAACTTTGCTTTTTTTTTCCAAAACTTATGTCAATGTTAGAACTGGCAGTGTTTTCTATATTGGTAAAATATCTTAGGTATTTGTACAATCAAAATAAAATTGTTTCTTGTTTTTAGTTACTCCACATAAAGCTTGCTGCAACTTTTTTCCCTGTCAACATGTATTTCACGAAAAGGCATTGGAGAAGGACTGTCACAACTTTGGTAGCCTTTTTCATGTATTTCCAGGATCAAACCTGTTTGCAGATTGTAAACATTGTCTTTTCTGTTGATGCATATTTAACAGACTGTAAAAAAAATAGTTCAAACTTGTATGGTTTTTGTTGAGATTCAAAAGATTTGGAAAATATATGAACAAGTCTTTCTTTGTACCAAAAAAACAACAGGCAAGCTTGGCAACTACAAGGTTAGCGAATCTAATAAAGACACTTTTTAGAGCAACAAGCCCAATCAAACAACACACATTTAAGCTGCCTGATTTTAGATATGCCCTTTAAATTGTTGCCAGTGTTGGGCTCTTGGATTGGTCAGAAATCATGTGACACTTTTTTCCTGGACTGCGGATTAAAAGATGCCAAACTTTTAAAATCAGAGAGTTGAGATTTCAACACTTGGATGCAAGAAAATGTACTGACGAGTCTGTCAAAGAATCATGGGCCATGTTCATTTCTTATCATATTTCCACCTTTGTGACCATATAGATTTTAGACATCTTTTTTATTGTCCATCTTCCTTTTGTTTGCACTCTCATCAATGTTGGGGTGTCCAGAAGACATCTTCCACAAAATAAATTGCGTGTGTTAACTATGACCCTGGACATGGCAGTCAAATTTGATGGTGTACTGGAAGCACAATGAAACAGGACAGTCTAGCAGAACCTTGACACTTCTAGGGTTAAACAGCTCTGCTAAACACTGCTGTGAAAACACTAGCCTAGCTATTCATGGCAAAACCAGTTCCTACATTCAACTCTTCCGAAGCAGTGATATAAAATCAAGACAAAGGTGTTGAGCATTTCATTTGTATCATATTCAAAATACTAACGACAATTGTTTGATGAGATCTGTGAATGATAAAAACCAACTTTACTGTGACAACATGGAAGTCAAGAACAATATCAGATACTGATTATCTTTGTCTATTGATCTATTCACTGTGTCAGACAAAATATTACAAAATCTTTCATAGACAATATAGGGAGAAGCAACTCAGGTTTTTATGTGCTGAAATAAAACATCTCGCACTCACATGATTAATGTTACACACAAAAATGATCAATGGAATGAGGAAAAGTTCTGTGAATGGACTTAATGATTTACGCATGAAATGTAAAATTAGAAATTTATCTTAATCTAGATCTACTATGGTCAAGCATTTAAGTTTCATAATGTTTTAGATCTAAGTAATTCCTCTAGTTGGCTGGCTGAGAAACACTTTGGACCAATTTTGGTAGTAAATCTATTAATAATTGGCATCTTGTCAGTCCCACAATGCTTTGCTCCTTCCAAGTGCTTCAAGGTCAGAGACAAACAAAATGGCTCCCAGAACAGGATAAAAAGTCACTATATATAACATCCTATTTCTGCTGGGTTCACATAAAATTTATACAACATTATTTCACAGGATTCTGGAAGTTTAGTGTTCTGAGGTAAAATCTTATACAAGCCTAGGAAATCCCTCTTCACTATTGTTACATTTCACATCATATCTAATATCAGACAATTTAGGAGACTGTTATTGAACATCATACAAACAGTAATACAGTGATGAGAGTGACGTGTCATAATCGAATGTTTGCTCCACGACTGGACATACTTGTAGTACTCGTCACACAGGTAACAACATCATCATGTCACTCTGCTCAATTTGACACTGACTGAAACGTTGCAAGGCATCATAGGACGAGAAACGGTCTATACGAAGGAATACTGGTTCTCCACCGCACGCGCCTGGACGTCGGACGAGTCGCTAGCCTGGCTACCCAGCGACGACGTGCGTAATCGTACAGAGCCGCTGAACGTTGCAACGAGGTTTCCTCTGGCGCCTTCGCCGCTCTCGGTGGACAGGTTCCCACTACTCTGACTGGCGGAGATGCTGGATACTTGAGGGTTGGACAGAGGTTGTTGGGGTTGAGGCGGGGCACAGACGACGTAACTAGACAACGTGATGTCGGCGGGGCCGCCGGACTCCAGCGGGATGGGGTGCGTCCGGAAGTGTTCCAGCATGTCGAAGATTGTTTGGAACCAGAGGTGTTGCACTCGACATTGTCCCTCATTGTTTAGCGACATTCGTAGATGCTGTATAGACAAACATTTCTGTCAACATCGACCAGTAGATAAATAAAGAGAGGTAAGAAAACCAAGCAAATACCGGTAAACTATTTCACAGACTTCCTAGTGTGCACAACACTTCCAGCGGGCTACCCCCCTGCTGTAGTGCTTGCACAACTGTGTGGCCCAAGGGCTACAGAAATGGAGATGGGCACCACCCCTATGCTATGCACAGAGTAGAACGGAACCCTTTTATGCCATGGTGCATGGGAAGTCGTGTCTACATGGGTAAGAAAGAAGGAAATTGCCCATACACAGTACATCCTTACCTTAGCCCTGCCCTGGTAGTTAAACGTGAGCACGTATTCTCCCCGCCGTGTCTCGCTCTGTCGCACCAGGAAGACGCCGTGACCCACCGGCCCCTGAGCGAGCACTAACTGAGCTGCCTCCAGTCTCGACAGTGTCCCATGGAACCATGGGTAGCCTGCGAGCGGGTGGTCGGATTCTGTCGGTTGTGAGCTGCGGCCGGCAAGCCACCGAGCTGAAGAGGAACAAGAGGAAAACAACAAAATTCTAAAATACTCTCTATTTTCTGGATGTTATTAGAAGTTGCCTGCAGATGATTGGTTGTTGTTATCAGAACATTTTATATTCTTCTTGTTAATTGTGTCTTGTTACATGTGTAAAACCATTTAACAGCATAAAATGGAGAATAAAAAGTCCTTGACTTTCAAAACATATAGAAAGCGTGTTGAATAACACCTGTTAGGAAATATCATCTAATCACTATTACTAGTAAATTATGAATTTTCAATTTCAAGGTACAGCCTGACTGGAAAATATTCACTATAACATCTCTAAACTGCAATTCTGTTTTGAATTATGAAATTGTGATGTCAAGTTTGGGTAAAAATTTGTCTGTTTGGACCTTCTAATTTTAATGATGATTCTTGGAGGATTCTTTTTGTCTTCATACTAACGTTAAGTTGTGACCCCAGTGTTGACAAAAAGTGCAGCAGTGCACTGTGAACTGACACCATTTGAGGAAAAATCGTAATGGTCAACTTAATAAATGCACCTCCTCTGCTGGTCTGATCCTGACCGGTACAACTGCCCCAAAGTCTTTTACGCAGGATCCACAGGAACAGGTCCGGCCAATCTCTGTCCTGCCTTACAACCCTGCCGGCTTCCAGGTCAGCACAGAAACAGAGCAGAGAGGCACCCACATCTGTTTAGCCATGAATGTATAACCTGAACATACAGGCTGGACTGTTTTTGTTCTACACTTGAAGGAACATTTAGGCAATAGTCCGAACCTGGGTACCGTCTTGTTCTTTTGTTCTATTAATTTGTGAAATTTTTAGCATAGTTTTGTAGGCTTTGCAAACTGACCTTTTAGTTTCTTTTAAGGTTGGACCATGTTTATTCTACAACATCTGACAGCAACTTTACATTTACCAGATTTGTATAAGACTTACATGTTGTGGTATACGGTACATTTTTGGGGTAGCAACTTGTAGGGCCCCAAAAGCTATCTACCAACTAAAACTCAAGACCATGCCACATCCAGAACAGAAGATATAAGAACCAGTTCCACAGCAGTACCAAGTAAAGCCACTAGGGAGCCCACAACTGTATCTTTGAGATGCCGATACCTTCCCACATACCTGAATCACAATCCAATGACAGCAACTATCTTCAACTCTCGTGCACACACAAACATACACACAGCCACCAAAAACAACAACTCCTTCACAGAGGTACATGTATATTGTAATAAACAGAAAGATAACTTAGAAATGTTAAGTTGCTGTCAGTAAACCCCATTAACCACTCATGTTACTGTACTAGTGAGTGTGTTTGTGTTTGTTCCTCTACTCACCTGCACCACTCTCCATGACAGGGGGGTGTGTTGGCACTTCTGTACAGTCTGCTGGAATCCTGGGGGGCACCTGGGGCGGTGGCGTCCCAGGGGGGTGGAGTCACCACTCGGAACAGCTGCATTGGGGGCCACAGAGGCTGTTGGTTTCTCTACTGTATTAGTACCTCCCACTGCTCCTACTAGATTCGAGAGAGAAGGTAGCAGAAGAGCGGTGAAAAAAATGCCCCATCACCAGAGCAGGCTAGTCTTTAAAAAAAAAGAGAGATCTCGTACTGGGAGCAACCCTTGTTTCCTGACAGATATAAAAGCTGGGAATGATAAAAGCTGCAAAAAACGCTAAAATTTGACTCAACATTGTCATCATTTTGTGACAGCAAATAGAAAATGTATCACTAAGTGGTTGAAGAATTTTGCTTTTGGATTCAGGCAAAGATGTTTGAGAAATCAATGATTGTAGTTGTATCATCAGAAGAAGCTCTGTAAGACTATATGTACATGTATGACAGTAAGAAAATCTCTTGAAACCATCTTGGCATGATCCTGACATACGGGTAGCTCTAATCAAGAACTTTCTGTCAGTATGGCTACTTATTCCACTTCAGGGAAGTTCTGTACAAAAGCCTCAGCAAAAGAGCAACATTTGTCTGGCTTTTATTTCCTTTTCCTTAGAGAAATGTCCGGGCATGCTTTTGAAAAGGAGAAATGTCTGGGTATGCTCTTCTTTTCGAGCGGGAACAAAAATATGACTAGAAAGGCCAATATTTGCTTTGGAGCAAATACAGCGATGGGTTCACCACATTTTACGACATGGCAGGGAAAGAATGAGAAACACAAGGGAAAACAATGATTTACATTGATATAACTATAATATGAAGTAAAATACAACTAAAACAACAGTTGGATAGCCATTCCCTACTTTATTGGTTAGGATTTTTAATTGCATAATGCAAACTGTTGATTTTCAAAATATAAAAAAAACGTCCATGCCCCGCATTCCAATGCTGGAGCAGGAAAGCTTGAAATACCTACCAAAACACTTGAATACAGACATACTGTCAGTATGGAAATGCTCTGTGCAGGTGTTAATCAAGTTAAATCCCAACAGCCAATCAGCAAGAAATTCTCTGTGCAGGTGGAAATGCTCTGTGCAGGTGTTAATCAAGTTAAATCCCAACAGCCAATCAGCAAGAAGTATAGAGGAAAGCTGCATGCCTATTGGTTGATGCCCTGCATTCCATTGTGATGACTCATGCCCAAACGTGGTAAACAAGGCACACTAACACAGTAATACATTTGCTATAACACAGCCAAAAAACTCAAATAAAACCATTCTAAAAGCCTGTATCACAATAATTTAAAAAACGCCTAGGGGTATTTGCCCACTGTACCTCCATACCAAATTTCAGGACCTTGGGCCCTAAAATGAAGAAGCTGAATCCATTTAAAAAACGGCAGGAGAAGGAGGAGGAGGAGGAGGAGAAACATCAGAAAAAGCAATATGGGTTCACCACCACTTTGTGGTGTGGTGAACCCATAAAAAAGTATAGCAGAACAGAAGATGAAGGGATAAGCTATTCCAGAAGATCTACACCCCAATATCGTGAATATCTTCCTGGAGCAAACACTTAACTCTTCAAGAATAACATGACACAATAAAGCAATGGTGTGGTATCTCAGGGATAGGTGTCCTAGTGGTTTATATCAGGGTAGGAGGGAAAAGAAGGTTTGCGCAGCATTTGAAGTTAATGGTTTAAAAAGTTTTGTAGGACTAACAGTAGAATTACAAAACACAGTGGTATAATTTTGCAGTCACTGTGCAAAGATAATAAAAATGTTTAAGGAAGAGACTTTTAAAGCAAGAACCAGAGCCTCCTGATCCCTGCCCCTTACCTGCAGTAGTGACTTCTCCATGGTGATGCTGTCCCGCAGGCTTCCCTGTACTGGATCCCCCTCGACTCCTGGGCAGGGACGGGGAAGGGAACGCTGGCTTCTCACTGTAACAAACCAGGGAGACAGTTAAACATCTTTATTCCAGTTCCTGGCAGGAGAAATTTGGTGCTGTTAGAAATAAGGATAATGATTACATTGTACATAAGGTACACAAACTAAGTTCTCTAGGACAATCTTATCTCATGCCAGTAAATAAGCAGGCAGTTGCTAATTTGACATCCTATCCTCCTAAAAAAAATGGCTTCTTAGTCTTCCCTATACTACTTACCTCTCCCTGCCCCCAATCATGCACTCTCTGATGTTGGCCAGCCAAGACTGCATGTCCTCCACATCATGGCACTCATAGATATACTCCATGTTGTTCTCTGCCTGGATAAGGGGGAATGGAAGAAAAGCAGGGCTGTAATACTGCTTCTTTCTAATAGATGGCACTGCTGTTAATGCCGGTTGCAAAGGTGCTGACACAACTGTTAGTCTGGGCAACTGTGCAGATTCTCCATGAAAGGGTCTTACCATAATCCTAATCTTTTAAGCCTAATCTTCCCACAATCTCTGCATAAAAAATCTAGTTCTTAGCCCTAATTTCATGAAAACGGATTGTTATAAAAAGGTAATTAATACTCCCTCCTACATTTTGCCTGGACCCAACTAAAATACACACAAACCCGAAAAAACAACACAACCACATAAATGTTCAGTATCCAGAAGAATAAAAGCACACATGATGGTAAGTACAATCAGTAGTGGTGCAGCTGAACATTTTTGTCTCGTTATTCTGTCCTGTAAACTAACGGGTGAACAGGTGAAGGTGACTACAGGTAGGTTAGTAGTTAGGACATGTGCTGCAAGCAAGTTTGGGTCATTGCAAAAATTTAAACCTTGCAGTACCAAGCATTTAGGAAAGAAAGAGATTGGGAAATAATAGAAAGATAGTCCGAAATGAGTGATCCTGACATTCTTAGTGATTACACAATAGAAGAGATGTTTTTAAAAATTAAAAATGTGAGAAATAGAAGAATTAATTCAACTTGATATGTTGAATGTAATTCATAAAAAGGTAAAAAGATTGAGATTTTTGTGGCCAGGGAAAACATTTTTTGACACACTTTTCAAATCACTTTGCTGAGATCATACTGTTCCTATTTGTCCTGCAGGGCCAGTTTTCTACCTGTGCAAAAAGCCTTCAGCCACAGACCAGAAAGGATTGAGGATTACGATGAGATATCTTTGAAGATCAATTGTGGATTTTTTCCTTTATCATTTTTCTCTGTCATTTTTTTGCAACTAATGCAACATTGTCAACTTCAATTCTGTTCCACCATCCTCAACCGCTTATTCAAAAATGTTTCAATCCCTCCTGGTCTGTCACTTCGGAGTAAAATAGTGTTAGTTTGTTGTCATGGTGCAGTGCATCAACAAGGGTGCTGCATGGTGACTGTTTACCTGCCATCTTGGGGGAGAATCACTGGGGAAGCTCCAAAACTGGAGATACAAGGGACAGCACGCTGTCAAATACACTAAACATTCAACACTTTCTCAGGACTGTTTGGAAAACATGTAGAACAGTCAGAAAAGCTGTGTGTCTTATAAATGTGGCATGTGTGGCAATACATCGTATTCATGATGACAATAAACAAGACAAATTAAAGTATTAGTATTACAATGTTACAGTAGCAAAAGACAAAGTTGTGCTTCCATCACAAATAGATAACATTATGATTGGGTCATCATAGAATAGGAGTTCCACAGAATAAAGAACTCTAATTGGTTATGTAGTACAGATCATCTCTTGAGACTGATCTTTTCAACTTTCAAGAGAGAAAAAGATCTGCTTATAGTAGGTGTCCCTTCTCTATATCGTGTGTTGCATCTGAAATTCACCTTTAGACCATATGAAGTGATTAGTTGAGCCCAAGCTGTGTACTATGTGTGCAGCTGGTTGGAAAGCCTTTGCCATATGTTTGAACTTGTAGCTGAGCTTCCTACAATCACTAGCAACCCTGAAATGTTAAGCACCAAAATACCTTACTTACCATGCAATGCTTGCAACAAGGCCCATACAAGATCAACTGTACTATAGTAGGCTTAGATACAAACAGCCTCAGGCACGTTTTTGAATGTTACAATGTTTATGATATTATACGAGTCACAAAGAAGGATCAAAACACGCCTTGTAAAACCAAACCAGCGGCTTTGAGACATTTCTTCGTGCAAACACCCATAATCCCTAGAAAGAAAACTGCAGGTAGACAGTTGAAAATTCAATGCACTTAAAGTAAGTTACTTGTATGTTAATTGTATTGGAACTTAATTTTACTACATGTGTACTACATTTTGTATTTAAATAATTTTCATTAAGCCCTGCGCACATTGGACTTCTTGATAGCAGTGTTTGGTTATGGGTTGTACTAACATAAGTGACATAAAAATGTAGAAATGCGGGTGTACTTACTCTAAGTACAAAGGTGTTTTCTGTGTCTGGTATCTCCAGAGGGGTCGTCTCTCGTGCCTCTTTTATTAACGAACAGAAGATGCCATTCTTTGGCTTAGATGACTGGAAAAAAAATCGAAAGACATAAAATTATATTACAAACATACATGTACATAGTGATTTTCTTCGAAATTGTACAACCTATTTACAACAAAAGTTGTATATATCATGTAGTTTACTACCAACTGTTATGTTACCATCTCATCCTTCCCTTGATCAGAATTTACAATGCATGTCAAGGCAGGGAGAAGATGCATGTATTAGCTGGGGTTATGGAATGACTCTGCGAGGATGATATTCAAAGGAGTGGGTGTTTATAAATTATATGAGTGTCTCTGGCATGACAACTGCAGCGCAAGGGACTGTGAAACAAAACTGAGAGCCACAACTCAATCATGGGGGGTAGAACCTATTTTTTGTTTCTTTGCAAAATTAACGGCAAAAATGTGCTGAGCAGGACTGATTTTGTGGAAGTACTGATGCTTGGTTGGTACTGATGGTCCAACATTAGAAACATCTCACATCTAAGGATATCAATATATCCTCTATAAAAAATTTATTCCCAAGCAAATTCTTAGACAAATTTTAATATATTTTCAAAGTGCACTTAAATGCCTCCACCCCTGAGGTGTCGCCAAAAATGAGCTGCTAACCAAACAAATTTGGGGACAGTCATAAATCAGTGTTAACTGTCATGAGATACATGTATCTCTATCACTGAGAATAGCAAACAAATTTCATTTGAGGAGAAATATCTGTAATGCTGGACCACCCCAAAGCCTGGAGTAAAGAATGTCCACTCACTTTGAATATCTTCCTTGCCATTTGCATGATCTACTGTCAAGATACCACAAAAAGACAGACATATGAAATCAGGTCCTAATTCTATATTCCAGTATTTGACATATACACCACAACTAGCACAAGCAACCAAATTAACAAAAGTATGTTGTAACTGCAATACAAATATCAGTTTTGCAGTTTCACGGTACAATGTATATCACCTCATTATCACTTGATAACAAGCAATGAAAAAAAAAGTTTTAAAAAAGGAAAGAAAGTTCCATGTATAAGTTATAACTGAAGCTAAAAACTCATGGAGAAACAGATTGTGCTTGTTTAAGATGTAACGGCCAATGTCTACACTTAAATGGGTTGCCCATTTAAAGACAGACATCTTGCAAACTTATCACTATCATTTGACAAAACATTCCTAAGAATCTTTGAACCAAACCCATGGCCAACATTCAGCTTAAAAGTAGCAGCAATGCATTAGGGCAAATCGCCCACCCAGTAGTCCTTAGGCTAAGTAAGAGCATGTTGTACAAAGGACTCCCCCTATCTAGTTGTGGGTGAATTATTCCAGAAGGGGATGAACTTGACAGGCAATACTTTGGGCCGGTTTATCTGCCAGAGGCAGACGGCAAATACACATTGCTGGTGCTCTGTCCAAAGAGAGATGTACTTTCTGAGAAGCCTGCACTTAAAACACATAATGTTACATGTATTACACCTTCCCTATTGCATTTTTAGCGTTGGGAATCCTGGTTGAATGTCTTAATCTTGACTTTTCTACTAGTACTGTATATGGGCATGATTATGTAGGTCTGTATTTTGCAGTACCACTAGTACTGTATTATACAGCCTGCTATGTCCTTCTCCAATAAGTTGTCAGTGAGTGTGAATTATTTAGCATTTCTTCACACAGTATCTATCTATCATATCATAAAAAGTGCTTTCAACTTCAAATGAACTGAAAGGGCGGTCATCCCAGTTTATCCCTCAGATCATGAGATCTCGGCACGACTTCACTTCTTTTTATCAAAGGCTCCACAGGAAAGGCTTGCTGCTAATACTCGTAAGTCAGAGAACGTACATGTAGGCCTACGCCTATCCATCATGCTACTGCAGCAGGAAATACTGCCAGCATATACAATATCCCCCAGGCCTGTCTATGCCTTCAAGCATTGGCATCTATTCAAGCTGCAGAACAACATCATTCACTTCAATATCTCCAGACACACATCAACCTTTGCAGAGGTTTATCTCTTTCCAAACTCCTCCAAAATTAAAGGCTCCTTCCGAGAGATTTTGGAGCCAAAACTAATGGAAATATGTTTGCTCTGGAACAAAGTTTTGCTTGATGTTTTCATCAGCACAAACCACACAGCGAGCGTTCTTCAGTAACTTTCAGATGCTACGAGAATTCCTCATCCAGTTCTTAGAAATGCTGGCTTGGTGCCACTGTTTGTGTACAAATGTGTAAATATACCCCGTAGCACTACTGTCTGCCTGTCCCATAGTTTATAAACGTTGCAGGTACACAGACAAGTGTAGAATAATTCCATAACTTTGTCTTGCCTTGCCCTGAAATGACCTACAGTCGAACCATGCACGAATTATCAGCCAAGATTTTGTGTAGTTCTCTCACATTTCTTTTTCCATGGCAACAGCAGTTAAATTCTAAATTTCATTATGTGAAGTAGATCTAATAACAAGAAAAATGAGAATATATAACAATTATTTAATTTTTACGGTTTATGACATAACAACACAAGAATAGACTTCTGAGAAGGCAGCTATTTGGATACATTTTGTTACAAATATGGAAAATGTAACTTAAGTCTGTTTTTCTGGTTATTTTTAAGTTGGAAAGCCACGTAGATTTATGACAACTGGGTGGGGCTTTGAAATCAAACCAAGAATTTGACTTGACATATTCAGTATTCATCCCACGCAATACTTCTATCCCACCCGAATAGAAAGCAGTACTTTGCTCCATGGTCATGGAGTCAGCATAAGGCACTGCATTGATTTTACAACAAATCATCTCTTTGAATAATAAACTGAATGCAATAAACTTTCAGGCAGCAATTTCATTATCAAGGCTTGTAGAGATTCTCAATTAATTGTGCTGCTGTTTTGGAAACCACACTGTATGCTGTAAATTCATATTAATTCAATGGGATTTTGTAGTAGGGAAAAGAAAGCATGTGAAGTTTGCAGTGGATACTTACTCATCAGCATGCATTGCTGATAGAAACCTGTAGTGTTTGCGTGATAATTTTGCAGAGGAGCCTGGCTCTAACGCACAATTTTACACAACTATTACTTATTTTACAGCAGAAAAATAACCAAAATGTCCCTACCATATTACAATAACAGTTCAATCATTCAAGATGAGATTTCCTTATAATTCTTAGTCTGCACATAGCTTGTGACTTAGGGCAAATCAAGTTATACGACAGGAATGAAATAAAACATTTTATTCATCTTTCATGCATACATTTGTAGTCTAACCAGCATCAATGTCAAGTCATGTAAGTTCAGGCAGGCAGGGTGTCTGTCGGCTTGATTACTCAAGTATTCCAAACGTCTGCCAGGTGTAATGAACACTGCAAGGCCTAGGAAAAAAATGTTGTGTTTCCTGTTTCAGTCCTGAAAAAAATTAGGGTCGATGGGTAGGGATTATCTTTTTTCCTTCTCTTTTTTATTAGACTTTGGCAATCTCTCTTGATCCAACTTACACAAATTATAGTAGAACTTGCATGAGGACACTTATATTTTCATTGCCAATGTTGGAAAACCGAATATTATACAACATTTCATCACTCTGGTGTCAGATCATGGAGCTAGAAATGGTCAATCAGCTCAAAAATATTTATGTTCCTTGCAAGGATCCACCCAAAAAAGGGCTAGGGTCGGTAGTTTTTTCTAGGGTCGTTCGGGAAACAGGAAACACAACATTTTTTCCCTAGGCCCAACCCTCCAGCTGACAGGTCCTCGGTGATTAGTGCCACTGCCTTATAGTCTGGAGCGTACGGTAAATCAGGAAATATTTGTGGCAGCTTTATGTTCATCATTTGAGAGCTTTATCACTGCAAAATCAACACATATGTACAGTTAATGTGCGCTCTGTCATGCTTTGGGTTATAACGGTTGCTCAACTTCAAACACATCCCCTCCTACTGTGAAATTAAGTCCCAAAGAACTTTAAATGATTTACAGTAATGGCTTGCCGTAGTGTAATCAAGCACAACAATAAAACACACTAAGAAGGGATGCCACATTCCTGAAGATTCTGAAGATTCTTCGGGGCAAAGTTCAAGTGGATTGGAATGCAATTAAGTGCATGCAAATCACCTAGGGAAAAAAAATGTGTGTTCCTTCAGGGTTCCATGGGCAAAGTCTGAGGGGTGTGTTTTCTTTTTTTTTTTCTAGACATTTTAGACTTCTAGATTTCCAGACATTCTAAGAGCTGTAAGAAACTAAGAATGAAACAAATACGAGTAGAAACAGGAAAACGCCTCAGACTCCCGGGATGCCAGAAATCGAACCCCCGTCGAACCCGGACTGCCAGCTTACGACACCAGTACGCCAACGACTACTCCAAAAGGTCCGGACCCATGTACGCGCACAAAAGGTCATTCACCACTTCTTGGAACTCGTGAAGCGATCCAGACAATAGCATGATTACATCCTGCTCAGCGGCCTCCAGAAATAACATTCCTGCCTCCCGACAAGCCAAGATCTATTCACCTTTCACCTGCATGTTTTTTTTCCAAATTCTAAGCAACAAAAACAGTGATTATCAAGTACATGACGTACATTTGTAAACCACTCTTTCAGTCTTCGATAAATTAATTGTAATAATTTCCTACTACATAGTACTAGCTAGAGATGCCACACCCTTAAGTTTGGTCATGTGAAAAGGCATGCTTTGTTGACCCTTTGCTGACAATTTGTCCTGAAGAAGAAAGAGAGAAAGACAGACAGATAGAGAGAGAGAGAGACAGAGAGAGAGAGAGGAGGAAGAGAAGAAAGAGGGATGAATACTTTGCAAAGACCACCCGTGCAAGGGTCCAACATGGGCTCACTAGCTAGGCCAATCCATTCTCTGAGGAGGGGACAAAGATAAATAGACATTAATAGCACTATTATTAGAGCAATCTATCTTCCAATATAACAAAATGCACACCACGGAGTAGCCATAGTTATATAAGACGGCTTTGCTATCGGATCATTTCAACACATAATATATAGTTGTTGTTCATTGCCAAGTG